CATATTCATCTCATACAGGTACATACAATCTATGTACATTCACAATATACATATATTCCATAATATATATACTCTTCATTTCAACACATACCATTCCATATAAGGTATATACTTTCACAATCAAAATTCCACATTCTAGGATTCACGCCTTGCGGCTACCCACAGTGTAACGTACCACACGGCACACAAAACTATTCAATTCGATAAGGATTAAACATAATCGAACAAAGAAATCCGCATGGAAAGGAAAAACACAGAGAACAGGAAAATGTTGTCGCATTCGCCAACCATCGCCTGGCGAACCTTCGCTACTTCGTTCGCCTGGCGAACTTGCCAGGGAAGACCACTGGGAGTTATTCTGGAATTACTCGCTAGCACACTCGCCCGGCGAACCTTCACCACACGCATTCGCCTGGAGAACTTGCCAGCGAAGACAAGGTGTTTGCTACTGACTTGGTTCGCTGCTGCTCGCTGGGCTTCTCCTGGGGAAGCTTCGCTGTCATTCGCCTGGCGAACCTGCAAACTCAGAACTCCCATGGTTGTCCAAGAGCCCAAACTCACAAACCGACCGATTCAAAAACCAAACAACCCCAGTAGACTTAGTCCAACGTTACCCGACTAATCTACTCCGTCCATTCTTGATTCTAACCGATTAAAAACACCATTCTACCGATTAAATCTTAAAATGCCCTAAATGGAAAAAATGAGGAAAACTCTCCCCAATCCAAAATCAAACTAATAAAAACATACATAATCATACACATTAACAGTATAATAGAGTTTCACACCCTTACCTGATCAATTAAACGCTTGGTAGATGATCTTGAAGAAATTCTAGGTTTTCCTCTTCTCTCTTCTTTCTTTCTCTTGTTTTTCCACTAATGATTCTATTTTTCTCTTTTTCTCTCTTATCTCATATTCTATTTTCTTTCCTCTTCATTTCCTTCCAAACACTTACTAAATACTTCTCACAAATAATTCACTTACATCTAATACTAATGTCTAAAATACCCTCTAATCTATTTTCCCGAAAACTCTCCGAATCGGCAAAAATAGCACAACAAGCAAACATAACACATTAACAAATAAATTTCACAATTCAAAACAAATATCAATCAAATAAATTAAAAGACTCAACAAAATAATGGGAATTCAGAATTTGGGGCGTTACATAACTTAGAGCCTCCATATGCAATGTATTCATATATTGATAAGGACGCTAGGGAGGAGCTTGTCAAGTCTCGCACCACTTCTGAATTCTTAGCTAAGAGAAAAAAAGGAAAAGAGAATAGAGAAAGAAATATCAATCCACATAGATTATCTAGTGGAGGATATAATAAACTAGAATAGATAATGATTAAAGAAAAAAGTAAACAAAGAGAACTAGAGTTGGGAGATCCTTCTAGAAGCCTTGATCGCAACCCTTCTCCATCATCACGCCATGAGAAATAGAAGATGGCACGTCAAATACCAGAAGACGACTTCACATCAAAGGCTACACAGGAATTTGCTAAAAATATTGTAAGTAGATACTTTTTTCAACGTTACTTATTTAAGTTAATTCAATTTGATAAAGAAGAACTTTTATATGTGTTGTAGGATTTATTGGTTGAAAAATTCAAAGATGATATCTTAGTTCCACGAGAACGTCATGACATATAAAAGTGATTGAAATAGAGGAGCATGGTGGGCGTATCCATGGTCTTGGAAGGGGCTTTGGTTTGAGGTTGTTTTTTATTTCATTGCAAGGTTCAAGGGTTGGTTATACCTAGGGAAGGTGTTAGCATCCTAAGTATCTGTAGTGCTTTACAGGAACCTCTTGTTAATATTTATGTTACGCTAAAGTTTGCTTGCTAAGGGAAAAGTGCTAAGGTAAAGACCTATGGTATATACACTAAGTATGCTCTCCAAGACATCACATCGCGTGCCTACGTATGCTAACTAGGATGGAATCAGAGCATTCATAGTTCACCTTACTAGGGTTAAGGAACTCTTTACTATGGTCAAGGTTCCAAGGGGAGTAAGTGTTCATAACCATGACACTTACATGGAGTGCAACGACTCTAAACCTAAGGCTATGCTAAACAAGGAAAGTAAAAGTTCATCACCATGAGACTTACATGGAGTACAGCGACTCCAATCCTAAGGCTAGGATAAAGGGAAAGCTAAACAAGTGTTGGTCGCATGACGACATGAGATAAGGGAGTTAGTTATTAGTTGTTAGTGGTTAGAGGTTAGAGGGCTCGACAAGATATCGCATCTTGTGCCTACGTATCCTGACTAGGAATGAGGAATCAGAGCCTCCGTAGTTCGACTAACTAGGGGTGAAGAACTCTTGACTATGTTTAAAGTTCCAGAGGGAAAGTAAGTGTTCATAACCATGAAACTTACATGGAGTACGACGACTCCAAACCTAAGGCTAGATCAAACGAAGAAAGTAAGTGTTCATCACCATGACAGTTACGTGGAGTGCGACGACTCCAATCCTAAGGCTAAATTAAACGGGAAAGGATGGAAAGGTGGAGAAGGTTATCCTAAACATGACATGACAGTCAACAAGAGGGAATCCTTTCCTTTGGAATAGGGAGTAAAACACAACAAGGGGCAAGAGATGAAGTTTTAAGCATCAAGACTAAAAGCACAGTCCACCAATTGAAAGTTTTTTTTAGGGTTTTTTGTTGTTTATGACGCTTTTTGTTTTTTGAGTTTTTGTGAAATAAGAAACAATAATAAGTTAGTTGACAAAGCGATAAAGCAAAAGCATAGAATAATGACTAACGGTGCAAATGACATAGTGATAATGAGCAATAAGTGGTGGCATGATCAAGGTAGGAATCGAAATCAAACTCGAACAAAAAGAAATCAAAACTTCAGGTTTTAAGAACCAAGTCTAAACCACAAGTTAATAGTTAAATTGATAAAATAATTAAAAATGATCAAAGATTAAAAATTTAAATAATTACATTCTAAACACGAATTAAAATAAAAAAATTAATCTACAAAAGTAATAAATAATTTTTTTTTTGAGTTTTAGTATTAATAACTAAACTAGTCATCTAAATAGCTACCACTAACTAAATATTAAATCAAATCAAACAATAACAATATATTCCTAAATAAATAAATAAACATTAACATTTTATTGAAAGACAACATTATAAGATACTCACGATTTAAAAGAGAAAATAAAAAAACAAAGTAATTTAAAAGAAAAGAAACAAAAAAAAAATCTACATTAATAAAGATGTATAATAAATAAATAAAAGAATCCATAAAAAAACAGAACAACGGGCATAAAAAAAAGAGGGGGGGCGGGGGGGGGGGCAAAAACAGATTGCTGGATGAGGTGGACCGGGTCGCTCTAGTTTCGACCCCGTTTAGACTTAAACACCATCAAAAATCTTAAGGCTATGTTTGGATAATTTAAAAATAATGGAGCGGAGCGGAGCAGAACGGAATAGGATGGAGTGGAATGGAACGGAACGAAATATAAATCCATTCCACTGTTTGGATATTTTACAATGGAGCAGAACTAATATCTCATTCCACTGTTTGGGAATTGGACAGAGCGGAAAGCATTATAACTTTTTTATTCTATTTTTACCCTTTGCTACAATATTGATAGATCCAACATTCTCACACTAAAATAATATATAAGTAATAATAGAAAAATATCAACTTAACACTTGAAAGAAATTAAAACATACAGTAATAAATTAAACTGTTCATAAATGAAACACGATTATTATAACTTGAAATTGCAAAGAGCAAGTGCATAAGTTTTGATCAACACCATACTTGGTATTCATAGTAATTCATAAACAAAATCAAGTTTTGCTAAAATTAAATGATAAATATATGTCTATAGTAGATAATGATATCAAGTCTTGCTAATAAAAAATACAAATATTGATCCATAATAGATAATGACTCTCTTCTTTAAGCATTCCACAAAACCTGCAAAAATAAAATAAAACAAATTACGTAAATATTTCATTCGTTAAAGATAAAAAAAAAAACTCAAAAGTGATAAATAAATATGCTACCATTATCAAAAGGGATAGTATGGAACAATGAGATGTAACATTTCCTTCCGCTTATCGATTGGAATTCCATTAAAAGCTTTCAATGCATCGACATTCTTAACAAGATACATGTATACAAGAGGCAAAGAACTTGGTTCAACCCCAATCTCGACCAATTCAGCCCAAATATCTCCACCATTAGCATTTTTACTCTGTTTGACCAGCTCCATGGAATTCATTTCAAACACATCAACCATTTTTTTTTAAAGTTTTAGAAATCTCAATCATGCTTGTATCATCTTCAATAACCTTCTTTACTCGCTTCTTAGTCCTAGATGATGATACATCTTGAGAATTGGTAATAGAAGGTCTTGTAGGAGAATTGTTGGAATGATGTTCATCATCATCAAATCCCTCCAAAATAACTTCATTGATTTCAACTAAGTGGTATATTTCTTCGATGGTTGTGCCATAACTTTTTTCAACATTTGCAGCCTTTTTTGCTCTCATTTCAGCACCTGTACCTTCATGCTCTCCTGTTGCTCGATCTTTTCCAAAAAGTTTGGCCAATTTATCGTAAAATAATATTGGTTTGTTTTTCCATTCAGCAGCTTCGGGTTTGCCTACACCAAAATAAACTAAATAATGCATCACTTAAAAAGTTTTTAATGAGTGAACTCAAATAAAAATAATCGGGTAAGTGCATAAAACAATTATAGTAAATAATACCTCAATTAGCTTGTTCCAAACTTCATCTTCGATAATCCACATATTTGTTGTTGAATCCCATCAAAACCCACTCAAGCCATTTTGGAAAAGGTCATAACAAGAATTGAACTTTGTTTTGATGTGTTTCATGTGATCTTTTATTTTTTCTTTGGAAATTGGTTTGTCCGAAAAGTGAGTCTTCAATTCTTTAAGAATTCTATCCATAGCGCTTGTTGTCATACTATTACCATTTTTATTTCCCAATGTTTATTGATGCAAATATGCATCAAGCAAAACTTCATATATAGCAGTTGTCCAATTGCATGTTTCTAGACTTTTGAGTTTCCTCGACCTCTTTAAACTTGCTTCCATGTCTATTATTGAAAAACACAGTGAAGAATATAATAAATTATGCACAAATTCAAATGTAAAAGTTCATCATACACTAAAATTCATTCCACAAATTACAAATAAAAAATTCAATCCAAATAAAATTCTTCAATACATTATTCATAAGAGTAACAAATCATTAAGAATAATTTTAATAATCTAGCCACATAGAACCAGCAACATTATCTCTAATTGGCTCTCCGCTAATCATATCATCGTTTTCTTGTCTATGATCTTGATGACCCTCTTGAACATCTCTTTCATTTGCAAGCTCATCTTGCACCTCATCAATTAGAGTTTGATTGGGTTCTTCACCCATCAAATAGTTGTGTAAAATGCAACAAGCAAGGATGATTTTATTTTGAGTTTTAATACCAAATGTAGGCTCTGTTGCAGTTTGTAAAATTGGAAATCTTTTCTTCAACACTCCGAATGCACATTCAATAGACATTTGTAATGACGAATGTCGATGATTGAATAACTCACAAGGGTTTCGAGGTGGATTTCTAGAGTATTCTTGTAAGTGGTATCGTTATCCCCTATACAGTGTAATGAGACATGCTTTTAAAGGAAAACCTGCATCACCCAGATAATATTTTCCTAAAAAAATAATGAGTCCATTGGTTTAGCTAATCTAAATACTTATACAAACATTTTTTTATTACTTTTTATTACCTTGTGGAACTTTAAGAGGGTGTGCACGTGTCAACGCACTCTTAACTATTCTTAAGTCAGAGGCAGTTCATTCCCATCCAACCAAGACATATGTAAATTTCAAGTCAAATGAGCATGCAGCTAACACATTTTGTATGGGATAATCTTTTCTACCACGGTATCTAGGTGCGAGTTCTATTGGAACTTTAACACGCACATGCGTGCAATCAATTGCTCCAATACAGTCCTGGCATTAAATTTATATATTAAAAGTGTACAAGAAAACTAATCAATATTTGTATAAGATAAAAATTTGTTTACCTTAAAATACGGGTAGAATTTATGACTGTTAAGTATCTGCGGAGGAACTTGTGTTCCATCAGGTTGTTTTAAAATTTTTCCCTCCACCTCTATCAAAGCATCTAGCACTCTATGAAAATGACGACTAACAGTTTCACCGGAGCGTCTAAAAAATAAGGACATCACACGGTTTCTAACATTATGTCCTACTATATAAAGAAATTTTGCTACTTGTTCTTCAAGATATTTAATTTAATAAAGCACACATATAAATACAGGTAAAAAAAGAGAAGAAATATGATGTACCTTGTTAGGGTAGAAGAAAGATAAACTCTTTGTATGCAAGAAGAAGGTCTGTGAAGGAGAAAAGTTGCAGTGAATGAATAGAAAAATATCATGTTGATTGAAATTAGGAATATGAACGGTTAATAATAAAAGTGAAAATTTGGAGGATTAAATTGTAATTGTTTTATTAATTGATTTCATTTCATTGGATACACCCCAATTTGTGGGAATGAAAAATGGGCCAAAATAGTGGTATTGGATGGAATGTGTTCCATCATACTCCATTCCATTCAATTTTTGTAAATCCAAACAATGGAACATAACTCCACTCCACTCCATTCTATTCCATTCATTTCCATCAATCTAAATAGACCCTAAAAAACAAAACGGCTGAGTGAAATGAAAAGAAACACGATCTTACAAACACGATCCTTCTCTTCTTCCTCGCTTCTTCTCTCTTCGCTCGATTCTCACTCTCATTCGTCTCTTCTTTGGTTCTTCATTGTCTCGATCTCGCCGCCGTTTGGGCTACCAGAGTCATTGTCAGAAACAGAAGGTACATCACCTGCATAAAAATTAATGGCAAAACAAACTTGCGAAAGTCGAAAGCAGAGTTAAATTGATGATGTGAATCAGTCGTTGTTGTTGTTGATGATCACTGCTCTCTTATGTTATCGCGTGGAAATGGTGATACAAAGAGTGAAGACGGAGGAAGTATGTCTCACCTGGTTCAGGTAAATTTGCGGTGTAATGTCGTGTTCTGTTGGTGGAGTTACATGGAAGATGATGGTCGTGCGTGTGCAGAACTTGGAGGATTTATGGTTATGTGTATGTTGAAAAAGGTCGTGGTGGAAGAAGAAACAAGTGTAGTTAAAGTTGCGGCAAGAAGAGGTTTAATGAAAATTGATGGTGGGTTTTGTTTTTGTAGTAAATCGCAGTGAATAGGGTTTATAGAGGAGGTGGTTTGATACTTGCAGAGTGAGTTTTTTAGAAATTTTCCTCCTTGTTTTTACAGAAGCTTTTTTTCTTTTCTTCATCCTAATTATATTCTCTTTTTAAAAACCTCAGAACTTGATTTCCCTCCCCCTTTGTTTATTACTTGTATTGTTTTTGTAGCAGAAACTGCTGTTGTGCCCTGTCGTTTTTGTTGCAGAATTTCTGTTGATTTTGTTTTGTAGCAAACACTGTTGCAGGATTTGTCACATGCATGATGCAAGTAGAAGCTGTGTCATTTTCATAATACGGTTTTGGTGACGTTTGTGTTTGGAGTGACGTAGCTGGCTTCAGAATGTGCAGATTTGGAGTCTTGTGGACATGTTTGTACGTTACAAGTTTCATTTGTTGTTGTGTAGCTGTAGTTGTTTTTTGGAATTTTTTTCCAACATGCCACTTTTTTAGGAACAAATTTCCAAAATGCCACACTTTTCCACCTATATCCCAAAATGCCATCTTTTCAAATATAAAAAAATTTGGAATAGGCATTGCCGCCCATCCAATGGGCGGTTGAGACTAAAATTTTTTTTTTTTTTTTTTAATTATTTTTAATATATAATTATCATTTCTTAATATATATATATATATATATATATATATATATATATATATATATATATATATATATATATATATATATATATATATATATATATATTATATATTAATATCATTAATGTATACATAATTATTTTGTCACTTTTCAAACAAAGTTAAAGGACTGCCGCCCTTTCAATGGGCGGCTATGTTGAAATTTATGGACACCCGCCCTTTCAATGGGCGATAGAGTTCAAAATGTTATTTTTTTTTCGTTTTAATTTATTTAATTTATTTAGTATAAAAAAATATATAATGAATTAGAAATAATGTATTTAGTTTTAATAATAATAATAATTGAATTAGAAGTAATGTATTTTAAAATACTTAGTTTTAATTATTTTTAATTTAATTAGTAATAATAATAATTGATGTAGAAATAATATATTTAGTTTTAATTAATTTAAATTAATTAGTAATAATTAGAATTGAATTAGAAATATATAATAATATTTAGTACACTGAAATATATAATAATATTTATAAAATAAATAACAATAAAAGAACTAAAATAAATATTTATTAATTTTTGAAATTTAATATGTACATTAAAATTCCTATTGACCCTTAACTAATTTCGACCCGATCGACGTAAGCGTTGGTGGGTTCTACAGTCAGGAGGTTGTACATTTCTGGTGGGCCTTCTACGATCAACCTCAACATTTTGGGGCTGTGTAGATGGTCCTGCATCATTGTTAGAGTTCATGAATTCAGCGACCAAATCATCAGTGAAATCGTCGTCAGTTGGTATCGCCGCCGCACTTCCATAACTTAATCTTGTACCCTCGTTACTCCAACTTGGTGGGTTTAACGGTGACATTGTGTTAGTCATGTAGGGGGTGTATGGATGGGAACAAATAATCGTTAGTGTTTTTATTAATCATCATGTATTAAATAATATTAGTTAATGATATCAATTAATATAAATTATGTATTAAAAAATATAAATTCATATTATATATTAATTTATATTTATTATGTATTAAAATATTAATTAATATTATACATTAATTTATATAAATAAGTATTAAAAAATATATAATTTATATATTAATATTATATATTAATTAATATAAATTAATATTATACATTACTTAATATAAATTAATATAACTTATGTATTAAAAAATAAATATATATTATGTTAGTACTATTCATAATATATATATTAATATTAATAAATCATATTAATATAAATTAGAAAATAACTATGTATACATTAATGATATTAATATATATATATATATATATATATATATATATATATATATATATATATATATATATATATATATATATATTAATATAAATAAATGATAATTATATATTAAAAATAATTAAAAAACAAAACGAAAAAAAAAAAAAAATTTAGTCTCAACCGCCCATTGGATGGGCGGCAATGCCTATTCCAAATTTTTTTATGTTTGAAAAGATGGCATTTTGGTATATAGTTGGAAAAGTGTGGCATTTTGGAAATTTGCTCCTAAAAAAGTGGCATGTTGGAAAAAAATTCTGTTTTTTGTAACAGGTTTTGAGCTATTGTTTTCAACGTACAGGCTTTGTGTACAAAAGCTAACAACATGATGATAAAGCAGTGTGTACGGGTGGGAATTTAGGAAGGCTTGAACTGTCAATGTATTGATGTTGTTGGTATGGTTTAGCAGAATTTGGTAGGTTTTATTTTGGTGTGTAGTCTTTGTGAAGCCTGACTTGTACCATGTATTTGCAGTAATTTTGTAATCTTGTAACTTTGACTAAATCAAACACAAGGCTTCTAACATTATTTTTTTGTATTTTTGGATTATAATGGTTTACAAAGAAAAACATGTGGTGGGCTTAAAAGGAAGAAAAAGTTGTAATGGGCCTTAGTATGTAAGCCAACAAAAATTGGAATGGGCTTAATGTAACACTCCATTTAGTTATTTAGTCATGCATAATTATTTTGTGTATTGTTTGTGATTTTACTGTCTTGTTTAAGAGTAGGTGTATTAAGTGGGAGTGGAAGAGCTTAGTAGAATGACTTAGTCGAAGTTAAAGGCTAGGATAATGTGGTAGTAATGATATGAATAAGGAGGCAATATATAAATGTAATATTAGTTGTATTAATATTAATATTATTATTATGATTATTAATATTAATATTGTTACAATTATTTACACTATTATTATTATTGGAACTATTATTGAGATTATTATTATTAGTAAAATAATTAAGAGATAAAACCTAATTAGAGTAATTAGCGGAAGAGTTACAGTCCGTTTTGGTTTTACGTGAAAAGCGAGAAGGAAAGTTAGGGCTAGAGAAGAAGAGGAAATTTCCACCATTGTTGAAGGATCAAGCTCAGATTTCAGGTAAGGGGGAGAATGAGATTCATTAATGGTGATAATAACATGAGAGGGTAGTGAGGGTTCCTTTCCCTCTTAGGATTTTCGTGCATATTCTTTTCCTTGTATTTCTTGATTCTATAATTGTGTGAATATTGTGAAATT